GTTATGACTATTTATTCCAAAAGACGCTTTGATGCAATGAAAATGAATAGCAACCAGGGATGGCAAACTTCAAAAAAAAAAAAAAAAAGGCTACACAGATTTTGAAAGAAATTTCTGGGTGAACTCTGCGAAAATCATAAATGACCATTTTATGTCAAACAAAACAGAAATCCAGAATATTAAAGAGATAGTTCACCCAAAAATAAAAATCCTGTCATCATTTACTCACCCTCAAGTTTTTACAAACATGTATGGGTTTCTTTCTTCTGTTGAACACAAAAGAAATATTTTGAAGAATGTGGGAAACCAAACAGTTTCTGGTCCCCATTGATTCCACAGTATGAAAAAAAATATATGGAAGTCACAGGGACCAGATTTTTATTTTTATCTTTTTTCGGTAAACTATTCCTTTAAGTGAAAATCATAAATGACCATTTTACTTTGAACAAAACAGAAATCCAGAGCATCAAAGAATGGTTCGTTCAAAAAAGTAATAATAACTCTATAATAATAATAATAATAAATGTCTTCCAAACCTGTATGAGTTTCTTTCTTCTGTTTTGGTCTTCATTGACTTCCATAGTAAGGAAAAAAACACTATGGACATCAATGGGGACCAGAATTTTTATTTTCAGGTGAACTTTACTTTTAAAAGTCATCATTTACTCACCCTCATGTTGTTCTAATGCTGTATGCCCTTCTTTTTTTTTAGACCACAAAAAGAGATTTCTTAAAAAATGTCCCACGTGTGCTTGTCCATATAATCAACATCAAGCTTTTAAAAAAGACACAAAAGTATCAGAGTGGTCCCACGCGACAGTTGCCATATATTCCAAGTGTTCTGCAGGTATACGATTGGGTTTGGTGAGAAACAAACTCAAATGTAACATTCTTTAACAAATATCCTGACTTGGCCCTTGGTCTCTGTGCACGACTGTACTCTCATGAGACTTTATTAGCGCCACAGTTCACTCCGACTAGCCCAGGAAAAGCACACAAGTTGTGAAAAAACTCTTTTTGTGGTCCGAAAAAGAAAGAAGGGCATACGGCATTAGAACAACACGAGGGTGAGTAAGTGATGACTTCATTTTCATTTTTGGGTGAACTATCCCTTTAAGGTTGCTTATTTTAAAAGAAAGGACTGATTTTTTTTTTATAAATAACAAAGAAATTAATCCAAAATGACATAGAACACCACTAATCTGGCTTGTATGTCATTATCTGTGTCAACCAAATTAAAGAAGTACTCAAAAATATTTTAATAGGTGCTCTCCCTGAAATAAACCACATACCAGACTAGAGGAGGAGACAATGAAAAGAAAGTGTGCGAGCTGTCACATTAGAAAAGAGCTCTGATGCGTCTTACTCAGTGCTGTATTATGAGAGGAATGAGTGAGGAATGAGTCTGTCATAAGGGAATGCCTCGTTTCAGGAATGAATGGAATTAAACTACAGTGTAATTGTTTGATTCAGCCGGGCTGAGAAACGTGTTTGGAGTGCAGAAGTGTGGTGTCAGCGCTTACACCTCATGCATCAAACACTGATATTATGACACATGCACCAAACATTCCCATTGTTCTCTTAAGTAGTTCTTCACCACAAAACGTTACAGGGACTGATATTAACATTACTTCAGATTGGCAAGTTTTCCATTAGTTAAAACATCACAATGACAATAATCTGATTAGAAATCAATTACATTTTGAAAAATGTAATTAAAAAAGTAACAGTGGGGTCCAAAAGTCTGAGACCACTAGAGAAAATGTTATATTTAACATGTTTTTAATTTAGTTAATTGCACTACTGCATGAAGAATAAAAGCTGATGATTATGTTCTCCAGCATGATTTCAGAATGATTCAAAAAGCATCTTGGGCTTCAGTGGAAGCAAATCTGACCTTTTGCACAAAGTAATGCAAAATAAGAAATATTTAAGATTCTTAGATAAAATGAGTAAAATTGTGACACAAAAGTATGTCACAATCTTGCTCGTTTGATCTAAAAATTGTTCAGAATCTTAAATATTTCTTATTTTGCATCATTAACTTTAAAGGAATAGTTCACCCAAAAATTTAAATTCTGTCATCATTTACTCGCCCTCGAGTTTATGCTTAACACAAAAGAATATTTTGAACCACCAAACAGTTTCTGGTCCCCACTGACTTCCATAATATATATATATATATATATATATATATATATATATATATTGGAAGTCAATGGTTATTTTTTTATACTATGCAAGTCAATGCGGACCAGCAGCTATTTGGTTACACATTTTTCAAAATATTTTATTTTATGTTCAACAGAACAAAAAAACTCATACAGGTTTGGAAGAACTTGAGGGTGAGTAAATGATGGCAGAATGTTCATTTTTGGGTGAACTATCCCTTTAAAACATGTCTCTGAGATACTGTATATATATTTTTTTGTATCACACAAAACCACCCAGAAAATCTCACACAGTCAGAACTTCCCCATTTCTCACTTCTGTGAACAAATGACAAAAAAAGAAGTGGGAATCTTACATTCAAGTTGCATTGAAATGGAAGTAGAGACTTCTGTATTGTCACGTACCTCCAAGTGTAATATATTATCGAAAAGCAGCCTAAATAATTTTTTAATTAAACATGCACATGTTTTGTGTTTACAACAAGATCTATAAACATGCATTTATAAAACAGATAGCCGACTTTAAAAATGTATCTTCCGAACTAACTCTATGCATTTCTAAGACACTGAATGTTCCAGAAAACCCTAGTGACTCTTATCAAAGACACATTTGATAGGTGAAGAGGACTTAACTTGCACATACACATTAAAATATAACCAACGATGCATACAATACTTTATAAAGTGAAACTTGTCTAATGTATGCATTATGGGAAAACTTTCCTCTTATAATAACAAACTGCCTACCAGCCCACAAAGGGAATGCAAAAGGTTAATGGGCGTTTACTAAACTCAAAAACTTGGCAAGGTGTCATTCATCCCTTCGGCGGAAACTAACAGAACTGTAAAGAGGAAACTTGCAAAACACTTAGCAAGTGAAACAATCTTTCAACACCCTAACAGCCGAGATGAAGCTCTTCTCTCAGGTTCGGTAAAAACATTATCTGTGGCTCGATGGAGAATACGGCAGTACACAGAGAGTAACAGTTCACTCATCAAGCAATTAAATGGTGAACTTAAGCTAAACTAAATATACTGTGTGTTACAAGACACAGCAGCACTTTTCCGTATAGTAAACACTCAAGCTTTTCTTTTAGCATTACCATGAGAGACGGGTCACCCTCGCTTACCTTTGGCCGAGGTCAAACATTTCTGAAAGGGAGATCACCAATGTCTATGGGTCAAAAATGAGATGTCCCATTTTGGTGTCCACATCCAATGAAATTTACAAAAGTGATTTTATATACACAGAAAGCATATTAAATGCAAGTAAAGTGTCTGCTTTAATGTTTCAAATAACTTTTGTGAAAATACAAGGCCAAAATATGGGTGAAATAATGTTCCATCGTCATTCAGCATATATTTATATAAAAAAGAAACAACATACTTATTCTTATTTTAGTGGGTGTCTTCTGTAAATCATGGTAAAAATGTATGATAGTCATTATTTTTGCTCAGAAAAAAAAAATTTGAATTAAACAGGACATATTCTAATGTATACATCCTTGAAAACCCATTTTCATCTTTGACCTATAATCAAACTAGTAAACCAGAGTAAATCACTTATTACAATACAGACAAGTGGTGCTTCAAAGGATAGTTCACTCAAAAATGAAAATCATTTAGGTTTGGAACAACATGAGGTGAGTAAATGATCAAAGACGTTTCGTTTTTTGGGGTTAAACTATCCTTTTAAACTATAACTTGTGTCAAACCGCTAGAATATTGTTTTATAGACTACTAGTTAGGGATGTAACGATTCACTCAACTCATGATTCGATTCGATTCACGGTTTTGATTTCACGATTCGGTTCACGGTTTTTTTAAGACAAATTATAAATTAAATGTGTCCTGTTATTATTGCTTGGACAAAATACTGTACGTTTCTTTGTGAAACTGAAATATAACACTATAATAATATACTAATATAGCACTTGTAAATTATTGCTCTTTTGTTGGTTTTGATTGCTTCTATTGTCGTCATTTGTTAGTCGCTTTGGATAAAAGCGTCTGCTAAATAACAAAATGTACATATAATGTAAATGTAAATAACAAAACTAAATTGAAATTTTAAAACAAGCCCCAAATCAAATAAATAAGTAACACAAATAAAATAAATATCTTCATATAAACAAACTAAGGCTAATTTGGCCAAGGCCACCACAATATAAAGTATTTTTGTCATCGTGTGAGTCACACTGGTCAAAATGTTTCGTTGTTTTTTCACCATGACAGTCAACCATGGAAATTAAGGTTTTATAAAAAATCTGATATTTGTTGAGAAGAGTCAAGATCTGAACTTATTGTTTCGGGAAAAAAAAAAGTTTCATTCGAGAATTGAGCCAAAGCAATTGAGAAAAACTGTAAACCAAATGCCATTCATTGTGCCACTATATTTAGAAAATTATATATTTCCATCTAGTGGTTATTTATTGTAATGACATTACTTCACAATTGTGCTTCAGAGTATTAATGGTGTTCTATTTTTCTTTATTTATCAGTTTTAAGTTAAACAATTCTATGTCCAATTCATTAACAATATATGCCATAATCACTCAACAAATTTGAATAGTAATTGAATTTGGTTGAAAAAAATCACAATGTATTCTAAAGTTCTAGACCATTTTTAAAAAAAACATTATGAATAAATATAACAAAAAATGTTTAACTTACATTAATTTAAAAATTATTCTTATTTAAATAATTTGTATATATTTAAGAAAATATTACATATTATTTTTTAACATTTTTAATACATTTAATTATAATGATTTTTTTTTTAAGTTAGAAAAAATGTTATTCAAACTAGATTTAGATGGTCTGAGAAACAGGAAAGTGTGAAGTTTGTATAGTAATGGACAGGCTGGGATACAGTCCTCTTGTTTTGAAGTTTCCATTCACAATGGAGTTTGGGGGGAACTGGGCAGGGCAAAGGATGTGGCTTGATGTGGGACTGGACTTCACAGACTCACTGCTGCTCCTCCCACCACCAATCAAATCCTTCCTTTTAACTTCATACTGCCCCTGAGCACACACAGGCACACAAAAACAGACAACGGGGCCTGGCAGACAAAATCAGGATATGACATCATACACAGGAAGGGAAGCCAAATAACTTTTCAGCTTGTTTTTTCACTCTATGCCCTATTCCTACGTGAGTTTTGCAGGGTAAAGACTGACTGATGAGTGCCAGAAAGGATCCTCACGAGACAGAACAGGAGAGCGAGGACATCTTTCCAGGTTTCCCACAACATTCCAAGTGTCTACAGCGGGACCAAAGCCAGGTACTTTAAAGTCTACAGTTTTACTTTTCTTTCATCTGTTTTCATTGATAAGATGCCACTTTTGTTTTCATGCTCTGTGTTAAAGCAGTAATGTCAGAGCTTGTGTGAAAAAGCGTGCTCAGACACGTCAGTGTTTGTTGTAGAGGTGGACAAATAACTCCTCTGTCCTTTGCTTCCACACATATTGAATGAATTGAGTTAAAGCCAGCCTCAAAACTGAGACTTTTGTGTTTATTATAAAGTCTACAGAGCTACTGGATATTTAATAGTTTGGTTAGAAACAATGATTGTAAAATATATAAAATATTATAAATATTCTATTTTGCATATAAAAACAATTATGGAAATGTAGGCTTTTAAAGTGCCTTTCCGGATTGAAAATACATTATCAGTTACAGCAACAAGTGTCAGATTCAGACCTCCTGCAAAATATCTCAACATGAGCTATGAGGTAAGAGAAATTCATGATTTAACAAACTGGTAGTTGTTGTTTTTTTGTGTGTGAATACATTTATGGAAGAAGAGAGAAACAGAAAGGGAAAGAAAAACAAGACTTATGAAAGAGACAAAGAAAGGATGGACTCAAACACAGATACACTGGCAGAACGTTAAATGAAAACAGAGAGGCAGGGTTTGAACAGACTCTCTGAAATCCACAAAGAAATGTATCTTATTTCAGCCACTTTGAACAAACACGAGAAGTTATGAAAATGGTGATGTGAATAAAACAACTCAAAGGGAAATTAAATGCATAGAGAGGAAGAAATGAATTTGTTTGCGGTGGTCTGTTTATGGAGTGTACTTAAAGGAACACTCCACTATTTTTGAAAATAGGCTAATTTTCCAACTCCCCTAGAGTTAAACAGTTGAGTTTTACCGTTTTTGAATCCATTCAGCCGATCTCCGGGTTTGGCGGTAGCACTTTTAGCTGTAGCTTAGCATAGATCATTTAATCTGATTAGACCGTTAGCATCTCGCTCAAAAATGACCAAAGAGTTTCTATATTTTTCCTATTTAAAACTTGACTCTTCTGTAGTTACATCATGTACTAAGACCGACGGAAAATGAAAAGTTGTGATTTTCTAGGCCGATATGTCTAGGTACTATACTCTCATTCCGGCGTAATAATCAAGGAACTTTGCTGCCGTACCATGGGTGCAGCAGGCGCAATGATATTACGCAGCGCCTGAAAATAGTCTAACTTCCGTCAACATAACCAATGTGACCACCTGCTTGCACGGGGAGCGTGCTGGGAACTATTTTCAGGCGCTGCGTAATATCATTGCGTCTACAGAAGAGTCAAGTTTTAAACAGGAATAATATAGAAACTCTTTGGTCATTTTTGAGCGAGATGCTAACGGTCTAATCAGATTCAATGATCTATGCTAAGCTACAGCTAAAAAGTGCTACCGCTAGACCCGGATATCGACTGAATGGATTCGAAAACGGTAAAACTCAACTGTTTAACTCTAGGGGAGTTGGAAAATGAGCCTATTTTCAAAAATAGTGGAGTGTTCCTTTAAACTACCTTTCAAAAGTTTGGGGTCAGTTTTTTTTTTTTTTTTTAAGAATTATTATTTTATTTTTTTTCAGCAAGGATGCATTAATTTGATCAAAAGTGACAGTAAAGACTTTCAGAATGTAAAAAAAAAAACTAGTTCAAGCAAATGCTGTTCTATTTATCAATAAATAAATGATAGTTTCTATAGAATATTACTCCGTACAACTGTGTTTTCATCATTGATAATAATAAGAAATGTTTCTTGAGAAAATCTTTCTTGAAATCAGCATATTAGAATGATTTATGAAAGATCATGTACACTTAAGACTGGAGTAATGATGCTGAAAATTCAGCTTTGCATCACAGGATTAAATTACATTTCAAAATATATGAAAACAGAAACCAGTTCTTGTAACTTGTAATAATATTTCACAATATTTTTGTTGAAAAATTTAAACCACATATACAGTACAGTGCAAACGTCTTAGGCCATTAGTATTTTCACCCACAAAAAGTTCTATCTTTTGCTGTAGTGTGTCAGAAATATCAGTTTACATTTCCAAACTTTCATTTTGCCATTAATTGTAATAATCCAGTGAGATTTTTGTTTGCACAAGGAGTCTGACAGCAGCCAGTGCTCCACACAGAGACTAAATCCAGAAGAACTGTGGCAACAGATGCTTCAAGAAACCTTCCTGCAAAGCTACAGTGCTGTGAAAAGTTTTCAGGTAGCTTTGCAGGTAGATTTCTTCAAGCATCTTGGAGATGTTTCCACAGTTCTTCTGGATTGAGTCTGTCTCAGTTTGTTCTGTTTCTTCATGTCATTCCAGACAGACTGGATGATGGTGAGATCAGATCTCTGTGTGGAGCACTGGCTGCTGTCAGACTCCTTGTATACAGTCTATAAATATATATATATATAATATTGTTTTTTGTTCTGCTCTCTAGAAAGGGCCCAGGGAATCATAAGAGTGAAGAATCACAACCATCCAGATCCTGACTGGATCTGACGACTCCGTCACCCTGCTCAGTTCAGCAATGGCTCTGTGCTTGGGTCAGGTCTTCAGCAAAGACAAAACATTCCGGCCTCGAAAGCGATTTGAACCTGGAACCCAACGCTTTGAGCTGTACAAAAGAGCCCAGGCGTCTCTGAAATCAGGCCTGGACCTGAGGAAAGTGGTGCAGCTGCCAGACGGGGAGAACATTAATGACTGGATAGCTGTGCATGTGGTGGATTTCTTCAATCGAATTAACCTCATCTACGGGACCGTGAGCGAGTTCTGCACTGAGAAGAGCTGTCCCATCATGTCTGGAGGACCACGTTATGAATACAGGTGGCAGGATGGGGATCAGTACAAGAGGCCCACCAAACTGCCTGCTCTTATTTACATGAACCTCCTGATGAACTGGATCGAGTCCCTCATCAACAATGAGGACATCTTTCCTACACGAGTAGGTGCGTGACATCAAATCTGTTTTCCAGACATTTTAACAACGCAATTATGATATCTGTGATAGGGCTACTAGTGCAGTCTGCTCATTTATCTTTTGTTAATTTCCAAATTAATATTTTGATATTTTTTAGAGGCCAAAGTTAAAAATATGTCAGGGAGGTACAACAGTCTTGATATCATAATATAGAAACATGCTTTATTAAAAAGATAAAATTCTTGAAAAGAAAACATTATTAAGTAGTTTGGCATTATCTTTTATTATTATTTCTTGCGAAAAAACTATTTTAACTGCTTCGTTGCTTATTAATATTTGAAAAGCCTTTAAGTCATGAAGTGCAAACAACATGCAAAAATAAAACGGTAAATTTGCAGACACCTGCTGACTGTGTGTTAAGGTCAAAATCAGTTATATTTTAATATCACTAAATATATTTTGAATCAGATTTTCATTTTAGTTAAATATATATTTTAGGTTCACCATTTTCATAACTTGCTGAAATTTCATAACTTGCTGAAACTTGCAGTTTCTGATTTCAGAGCATCTATTCAACTGTACAATCAAACACGGACTCTGTTTTCATTTACCGTTCTGAGAGTATATCAAAAATAAAAAATGTTTGATTTTCCTTTTCTTTGTTGTGGACACACCTATTTGTTATTGACCTTTAAGCTGTTTCAGTAAATTGCCTATAATTTCAGTATTGCATATTAATAAATGAGCAGAGGTATACAAATGAATGGAAATAAGACAAAAACAGTTAGTTGTAGAAATATTAATGGATAACTGGGTTGAGAAATGGTCCAGTTAAGTTTCTCAGGAATTGCTGTATAATTTGTGGGGCCGGGAACACCAGACATACTTTGGTCTGAAAAAAAATATTACTGGATCGAGTTACAGAAGCTATACTTATAAGCACTGCCAACAATTCATAATTCCACAGGCTGAGCTACAGGCCGAAAAAGACATACTCAGTAGGCTTTTTCTCCTTAAATAGCATTTGATTTTTCTCATAGAAGAAAATCATATAGCATCTTGAATTCAATGTGATAGAAGTGTGACACTGGTATTCTTCTGTTTTTAGGAGTCCCTTTTCCTAAGAACTTTCAGCAGGTGTGCAAAAAGATACTGAGCCGCTTGTTTCGGGTGTTTGTACACGTGTACATCCATCACTTTGACATGATCTGTAGTATCGGAGCTGAGGCTCACATCAACACCTGCTACAAACACTACTACTACTTCATCTCTGAGTTCAGTCTCATCGACCATTCGGAGTTGGAGCCGCTGGTGAGAGAGAGCTGTGCTTTCATTACTGTGGCCACGTACACACTGCAGCGAAATTCGGTTGTCAGTTTAACATGAGGCACTAACTAAAACTAAAAGTAAAATAAAAAAAATAGTTTCTCAGTGATACCTTTTAGCGCTTAATCCTGTTCAGTAAACACAGTTCAGTAATTTACAGCAGTGACAACCGCATTCTACAACTGAACTGACTCCCAAAAAATCCAGGTAGTGACGACCACATTTACAGAGATTCTACACAGTTTGTACGGAACTGAACTGAACAAATAGTTAACACATAACATATTGTGGTGCAGGAAATCACAGTGAAGTAGGCTACATCTTGACTCAGTGTTGCCAGATATCGCTATTAAAATGGGAAGAGGCGTTATAAATAGAAAAAAGCCACAAACCAAAATATCTGCACCTGCCTACTTTATTAACTCCAAAAAATGGATCGCTTTATGAGCCGAGCCTAAACAACAAGCCCTAGGATGCTTATAAGCACTGCTTATAATAAGTGGACATGGCAACCCTTAAAGAGCGAGCTGAACACAACGACTGTATATAACGACAGTCACTCCCAGGTTGTACAAAGTGTGTACATGACCTGTGTCATATTGTAGTGAATCCCCTAAATGATCATTTCATGTGTACGGAACAGAACTCACTCTCAAAACTGATGATTGGCACCATGGTAACCATAGCAACGTTCCGGCATTTTTTTTTTTTGACCAAAGTAATATTACAGCAACCAAAGAATCATTATTTTCTGTGATTTTAACTAAACCACAACAGCCGTTGTGTTTTGTTTATGTTTGGAAGGCTACTTCGTAGAGCGTGCTCTTGAAGGGTTGCCATGTCCACTTATTATAAGCAATGTTTACCAAGCGTTTGTGCTTCTTTGAGATTGGCGTTTAGGCTCGGCTCATTAAGCGATCCAATATATGGAGTTAATAAAGTAGGCAGGTGCAGGTCGCTATATTTTGCCATGTGGCTTATTTCTAAAGTACTGTGTTTGGATTTGAGTTTATTATGGGCTTTTCTTTATTTGTCTTTTGTATTATTTTTTTTTTTTTTTGCAAGATCTGTCAACACCAATGAATCAAAACGTACCGTGTAATTTCTTGCACCGCACATACAAAAAAGATAACTGTGATATATGTTTAAATACGTTATTAACAACTAGTTGTTCAGTTTGTTTCCGCACACACCGCATAGAATTTCTGTAAATGAAGTTGTCACACTCTGGCTGTCACTCCCAAAAATTACTGAACTGTGTGTGAACAGAACAGGATTAAGCACTAAAAGGTGAATAGACAACCAAATGTAACTGCAATGTGTATGTTGCCAATGTGTTGCCACTGTTATAATAATAACTGTTATTAGACACAAAATAATAAATTATGATAGTGGCCATTAGCAGAATTTAGCCTACTCCTCTGTAGCTAATAGGTTTTATGAAAAACTAGATGCTGACAGCACAATGCAAATGTGCTGTGTTTGTCATAATAACTTGGTCTTTTCTGTCTTCACAGAAAGAAATGACAGAGAGGATCTGCCACTGAGAGATGTGGAGAACAGATGGGAATCCCAAAGTCAAACATTCGGACCAAAAGCACAATGTACTCGAGGTCTGGTCTAAGATCAGGCGAGATCAGAGACTCACAAATGAGCTAAAATGCAATACATCCTTGCTTCAGTATTAGCTCAAATTCTGCAGCACTGACATGAAATGATGCATTGATTGCTTAGTATTGCATACATTTTGAGCATTTCACCATGTGACTTCAAAGATACTTAAAAAAAAAGTGTTACAGAGGGAAAGGTCTTGAAATGGCATGTCTAAAACTTTTGCTAAGTTTTAGAGGTTACATTCTTGCTCTGCCGTGTCTGTGCCAGTGGGGGCTGTTTAATCAGGGCATGTGCAGTAAGAAACTTTCTCCATAGCTAGTAACTGATGACGAAGAGTACTCAACAGTATTATTCTTATTTCAGACATTTTGTTCTGACAATGTGACAATGCATTTAAGTTTAAAATACAAACATTTTAAATGTAAAGACTCTTTTTTTTTTTTTTAAGAAATTGGATCTGAAAATCTATACCATGGGGCCTGGCTTCATTACTGTAGTTACTCTGTTCTGAACATCAAATCCATCAAATTCGTTTTTCCATCTAATGTATTGTAACTAGGTGGTTGAATACAAATATTTGGACTTTATATTTAAAAATTACTCAAGTTAGCATCAGGTAGCTAGTTAGCTAGCCAGTTAGCATCAGCTAACAATATTGTTCAAATAGGCTATTATAATTTTGTAATTCATAATTATTGATTATATTCTTTTTAATTTTAAGCTAAAACTTCCTGAACTCTGATTTTGCTGTAAATGTATAAAGCAAATTGCTCTGTCAGACTGGGGGGCTTTTTACCCCACCTGTGCAAAACGCCTCCTTGTTACAGATTTAATTTTTGTTAAAAATCTAATAACATGAAATCTCTGGAGATTTTTCATACTTGGTTTGTAATTTATATCATTGTCACTAAAACTATGATAACTATTCTAGACACATTTAACTTTTGTTTCAATGAAACAAATTACACCGTCCTTAAAGATGCAGTCCGTAACTTTTTTGTGTTCAAAATTTATATAATAAGCGAGTACACCATGAATCCATTTTCCAAACCGTGTTTTTGGCTTATCCTGAATCACTACGGTACACCTATAATAAGTGTTTATATTCGGACTATTTAGACTGGTTCGGGTATGTACCGCTGCGGAGTAGCCCAGTACCTGCGTGATTCGCCATAGACTTAAACAGAGAGAAGTAGCTCCGGCTACAATGTTCTTCCGCAAGACGCACGCAGTTCTGTTTATTAACCGCTAGAGCGCCAGAAGCTACGGACTGCAGCTTTAAGGAAGCGTTTTCCCCACTCTACCCTAATAATATTTATGCATTCTCCAGGCCTTAACCTTTTTCTTTTTATTTCCAGGTTTCTCACGATCATGGCAACATTAAAATAATGCCAGACTTAGAAAATAACCTATTTACTAATTACTAACCTAATTACTAAATTAACACTCTAAAAATGAAACGAATTCCACATGGAAAACTTTCATAGCAGAACATTTCAGATTAAACTCCAGGATTAGTATAATTACTAAAACTGAAACTAAAATTAAAACCATTAAAAAAAATCCTTACTTGAAATAAAATTAAATATTAAACAAGTTTTATTTTAGCTAGTTGACAAAGCAGCATTTCTCATTTTAATTTAATTAAATGTAAAATAACTAAAACTGAAATTGAATGGACATAAATGGACATAAAAAGCTGCTAAAATGACAAACGCAATAAGAATTACTAATACATTTTGTTACAATTTAAAATACATATAAAAACTGATTTAAAAATAAAACATGAATCCAAAATTCGAAAAAATATTGAATCAGAATTAAACATTAATAAAAATATCAATAATATCTCAGTGATGATACCATAATAACACCGAAACTCACTACACGTCACACTATCGATTGCGTAACATTCATAATTATTGATTATATTCTTTTTAATTTTAAGCTAAAACTTCCTGAACTCTGATTTTGCTGTAAATGTATAAAGCAAATTGCTCTGTCAGACTGGGGGGCTTTTTACCCCACCTGTGCAAAACGCCTCCTTGTTACAGATTTAATTTTTGTTAAAAATCTAATAACATGAAATCTCTGGAGATTTTTCATACTTGGTTTGTAATTTATATCATTGTCACTAAAACTATGATAACTATTCTAGACACATTTAACTTTTGTTTCAATGAAACAAATTACACCGTCCTTAAAGATGCAGTCCGTAACTTTTTTGTGTTCAAAATTTATATAATAAGCGAGTACACCATGAATCCATTTTCCAAACCGTGTTTTTGGCTTATCCTGAATCACTACGGTACACCTATAATAAGTGTTTATATTCGGACTATTTAGACTGGTTCGGGTATGTACCGCTGCGGAGTAGCCCAGTACCTGCGTGATTCGCCATAGACTTAAACAGAGAGAAGTAGCTCCGGCTACAATGTTCTTCCGCAAGACGCACGCAGTTCTGTTTATTAACCGCTAGAGCGCCAGAAGCTACGGACTGCAGCTTTAAGGAAGCGTTTTCCCCACTCTACCCTAATAATATTTATGCATTCTCCAGGCCTTAACCTTTTTCTTTTTATTTCCAGGTTTCTCACGATCATGGCAACATTAAAATAATGCCAGACTTAGAAAATAACCTATTTACTAATTACTAACCTAATTACTAAATTAACACTCTAAAAATGAAACGAATTCCACATGGAAAACTTTCATAGCAGAACATTTCAGATTAAACTCCAGGATTAGTATAATTACTAAAACTGAAACTAAAATTAAAACCATTAAAAAAAATCCTTACTTGAAATAAAATTAAATATTAAACAAGTTTTATTTTAGCTAGTTGACAAAGCAGCATTTCTCATTTTAATTTAATTAAATGTAAAATAACTAAAACTGAAATTGAATGGACATAAATGGACATAAAAAGCTGCTAAAATGACAAACGCAATAAGAATTACTAATACATTTTGTTACAATTTAAAATACATATAAAAACTGATTTAAAAATAAAACATGAATCCAAAATTCGAAAAAATATTGAATCAGAATTAAACATTAATAAAAATATCAATAATATCTCAGTGATGATACCATAATAACACCGAAACTCACTACACGTCACACTATCGATTGCGTAACTCTTATAGTGACTCTGCACTACGGACACGGTAGTCAGATGGAGTCGTAATCATTTAATTTGAGCGTATTCCTCCTTAGCCCCAGTCTGTGCGTGAAACCGGTATTTCTCCAGTGCGACATACGAATATCTGAATGATTCTTGGCAGCAGTAACGTCTAG